ACACCAGCTACAGTAACAACACCAGCTACAGCAACAACACCAGCTACAGTAACAACACCAGCTACAGTAACAACACCAGCTACAGTAATAACACCAGCTACAGTAACAACACCAGCTACAGTAACAACACCAGCTACAGTAACAACACCAGCTACAGTAACAACACCAGCTACAGTAACAACACCAGCTACAGTAACAACACCAGCTACAGTAACAACACCAGCTACAGTAACAACACCAGCCAGCTACAGTAACACCAGCTACAGTAACACAGCTACAGTAACAACACCAGCTACAGTAACAACACCAGCTACAGTAACAACACCAGCTACAGTAACAACACCAGCTACAGTACAGTAACAACACCAGCTACAGTAACAACACCAGCTACAGTAACAAGCTACCAGCTACAGTAACAACACCAGCTACAGTAACAACACCAGCTACAGTAACACACAACTCCAGCTACAGTAACAGCTACAGTACAGTAACACCAGCTACAGTAACACCAGCTACAGTAACAACACCAGCTACAGTAACAACACCAGCTACAGTAACAACACACAGCTACAGTAACAACACCAGCTACAGTAACAACACCAGCTACAGTAACAACACCAGCTACAGTAACAACACCAGCTACAGTAACAACACCAGCTACAGTAACAACACCAGCTACAGTAACAACACCAGCTACAGTAACAACACCAGCTACAGTAACAACACCAGCTACAGTAACAACACCAGCTACAGTAACACCAGCACAGTAACAGCTACAGTAACACAGTAACACACAGCTACAGTAACAACACCAGCTACAGTAACAACACCAGCTACAGTAACAACAGTAACAACAGCTACAGTAGTACACAACACCAGCTACAGTAACACCAGCTACAACTACAGTAACAGCTACAGCTAACAACAACACCAGCTACAGTAACACCCAGCTACAGTAACAACACCAGCTACAGTAACAACACCAGCTACAGTAACAACACCAGCTACAGTAACAACACCAGCTACAGTAACAACACCAGCTACAGTAACAACACCAGAGATTAAGTTAGGTTAGGTAGGGTTGGTTAGGTTGGGTCATATATCTACGTTAATTTAAACTCCAAAAAAAAAAAAAATTGACCTCATACATAATGAAATGGGTAGCTTTATCATTTCATAAGAAAAAAATTAAGAAAATATATTAATTCATGAAACTTGGCTTATGGGCAAATCGAGCCTTGCATAGTAGGCTGAGAAGTGCGTTTCTGGCTAATAGGTACGTACGACATATATATATATATATTATATATATCTAATATATAATATATATATATATGTCGTACCTAGTAGCCAGAACTCACTTTTTGGCCTACTATTCAAAGCCTGATTTGCCTAATAAGCCAAGTTTTCCTGAATTAATATATTTTTTCTAATTTTTTTCTTATGAAATGATAAAGCTACCCATTTCATTATGTATGAGGTCAATTTTTTTTTATTGGAGTTAAAATTAACGTAGATATATGACCGAACCTAACCAACCTACCTAACCTAACCTACCTATCTTTATAGGTTAGGTTTGGGTAGGTAGCCGAAAAAGTTAGGTTAGGTTAGGTTAGGTAGGTTAGGTAGTCGAAAAACAATTAATTCATGAAAACTTGGCTTATTAGGCAAATCGGGCCTTGAATAGTAGGCCAAAAAGTGAGTTCTGGCTACTAGGTACGACATATATATATATATATATGTCGTACCTAGTAGCCAGAATGCACTTCTCGGCCTACTATGCAAGGCCCGTTTGCCTAATAAGCCAAGTTTTCCTGAATTAATATATTTTATCAAAATTTTTTCTTATGAAATAATAAAGCTACCCATTTCATTATGTAAGAGGTCAATTTTTTTTTATTGGAGTTAAAATTAACGTAGATATATGACCGAACCTAACCAACCCTACCTAACCTAACCTAACCTAACCTATCTTTATAGGTTAGGTTAGGTTAGGTAGTCGAAAAAAACATTATTTCATGAAAACTTGGCTTATTAGGCAAATCGGGCCTTGCATAGTAGGCTGAGAAGTGCGTTCTGGCTACTAGGTACGACATATATATATATATATATATATATATATATATATATATATATAGTTATCTTGTGTACTAGCCCTAGTGTGGTTCAACTAGTGGTTTTATTATTTTTATGTTATTTGTTCTTTGATATTAGAGTAAATAGTTCAAAATTTTTCGCTTGAGTATTCCTTCACTCCTGTGAAATTTTCACACAACAAAGGCCAATGCAACATTTTTTGTTTTGTTAATGCGAAGTGCGTGCCAGAGTCCTCTGGCTATGTAGCAGCATTACTGCCTCAGTCACACCATCTGTCCCATCTATTGAGCTATTTCACCTACTCATCTATCCATTATCTACTCATCTATCCATGTAAATATTTTATCTATTACCTATCAATCCCTCTACTCATTTGCCTATCTATGTATAACATCTAATTTAGTGCAAATCTATGCCAGCAATATTAGCGTAACCTATCCACTCTCAACTCCCTATTTTTTTCATATATCTAACAACACCAGCTACAGTAACAACACCAGCTACAGTAACAACCCAGCTACAGTAACACCAGCTACAGCAACAACACCAGCTACAGTAACAACACCAGCTACAGTAACAACACCAGCTACAGTAACAACACCAGCTACAGTAACAACACCAGCTACAGTAACAACACCAGCTACAGTAACAACACCAGCTACAGTAACAACACCAGCTACAGTAACAACACCAGCTACAGTAACACCAGCTACAGTAACAACACCAGCTACAGTAACAACACCAGCTACAACAACAACACCAGCTACAGTAACAACACCAGCTACAGTAACAACACCAGCTACAGTAACACCAGCTACAGTAACAACACCAGCTACAGTAACAACACCAGCTACAGTAACAACACCAGCTACAGTAACAACACCAGCTACAGTAACAACACCAGCTACAGTAACAACACCAGCTACAGTAACAACACCAGCTACAGTAACAACACAGTAACACCAGCTACAGTAACAACACCAGCTACAGTAACAAGCTACAGTAACAGCTACAGTAACACACCAGCAACAACCAGCTACAGTAACAACACCAGCTACAGTAACAACACCAGCTACAGTAACAACACCAGCTACAGTAACAACACCAGCTACAGTAACACCAGCTACAGTAACAACACCAGCTACAGTAACAACACCAGCTACAGTAACACCAACAGTAACAACACCAGCTACAGTAACACCACCAGCTACAGTAACAGTAAGTAACACCAGCTACAGTAACACCACCTACAGTAACACCAGCTACAGTAACAACACCAGCTACAGTAACAACACCAGCTACAGTAACAACACCAGCTACAGTAACAACACCAGCTACAGTAACAACACCAGCTACAGTAACAACACCAGCTACAGTAACACCAGCTACAGTAACAACACCAGCTACAGTAACAACACCAGCTACAGTAACACCAGCTACAGTAACAACACCAGCTACAGTAACAACACCAGCTACAGTAACACCAGCTACAGTAACAACACCAGCTACAGTAACAACACCAGCTACAGTAACAACACCAGCTACAGTAACAACACCAGCTACAGTAACAACACCAGCTACAGTAACACCACCAGCTACAGTAACAACACCAGCTACAGTAACAACACCAGCTACAGTAACAACACCAGCTACAGTAACAACACCAGCTACAGTAACAACACCAGCTACAGTAACAACACCAGCTACAGTAACACCAGCTACAGTAACAACACCAGCTACAGTAACAACACCAGCTACAGTAACACCAGCTACAGTAACACCACCAGCTACAGTACAGTAACACACCAGCTACAGTAACAACACCAGCTACAGTAACAACACCAGCTACAGTAACAACACCAGCTACAGTAACAACACCAGCTACAGTAACACCAGCTACAGTAACACCACCTACAGTAACAACACCAGCTACAGTAACAACACCAGCTACAGTAACAACACCAGCTACAGTAACAACACCAGCTACAGTAACAAAAAAACAGCAACCACATTCAAAATAACAGCAGCATTAACAAGAACACGATCATCATCAATAGCACACATTTACAATAATAAAAAAACAGCAACAAGAACACTGATAGCTCCTTCACAACAAGAACATCGATAGCAACAAACACCATAAGAACAACGACAGCCTCATCAAAACAAGACCAACGATCACAACTAGCTCAAGACCAACGATAGCAACAAACATAACAAGAACAACGATAGCAACAAACACAATAAGCTCAACGATAGCAACAAACACAATAAGCTCAACGATAGCAACAAACACAATAAGCTCAACGATAGCAACAAACACAACTAGAACAATGATAGCAATAAATACAACATGAACAATGATAGCAACAAACACAGCAACAACAAAAACAATGATAACAACAAACACACGAACAGTGATAGCAAGAAACACAACAAAAACAATGACAGCAACAGAAACAACAAGAACAACCATAGTAACAAACAAGAATAACGATAGCACCAAAGTCAACAAAAACAACGACAGCAAAAAAAAAAAAACAAGAACCACGCTAGCAACTAACACAATATAAACAACGATAGCAACAAAAAAATAGCTATCAAACACAACAAGATCAACCATACCCAAGAAACACAACAAGAACAACAATAGAAACAAGCACAACAAGATCAACGATAACAACAAACACAATAAGAACAACGATAGTACCATCACAAAAGAACAAAGTTATCAACAAACACAACTAGAGCAACGATAGCAACAATCACAAGAACAATGATAGCAACACACACAAGAAGAACAACGATAACAACAAACACAATGAGAACAACGATAGCACCATCACAACAAGAACAACGATAGCAACAAACACAACAATATCAACCATAGCAATAAACACAACATGAACAACGATAGTAACAAAAACAACAAGAACAACGATAGAAACACGCACAACATGAACAATGATAGCAACAAACACAACATGAACAATGATAGCAACAAAGAAAACATGAACAACGATAGTAGAAAACACAACAATATCAACCATAGCAACAAACGCAACATGAAAAACGATAGTAACAAAGACAACAAGAACTACGATAGCAACAAACACAACATGATCAACGATAGCAGCAAACACAACAAGATCAATGATAACAACAAACACAACAAGATCAATGATAACAACGAACACAACAAGATCAATGATAACAACGAACACAACAAGATCAACGATAGTACCATCACAAGAAGAACAAAGATATCAACAAACAAAACGATACAACGATAGCAACAATCACAAGAATAACAAAGATTTCAACAAACAACAACACCAACGAGAGCAACAAGCACAATAAAACAACGATAGCAACAATCACAACAAGAACAATGATAACAACAAATACAACAACACCAACGAAAACAACAAGCACTACAAGAACAACAAAAGTAAATAATGTCATATATCAGCAACAAAAGTATCAACAATTACAACCACAATAACAAAAGCAACAAAAGCAGCTTACCAGAGCCACCCACTAACAACGCCCCACAAAAGCTCCACAAACACACACACAAGAACTTACAGAAACATTTCCAGTACACGAGGCAGGATGTGTTGAGCCGTCGTCATGCCCTCATGTCCATGGTGAACACCCTCAGGCCCACTTTGTTCACTCTTCCTCCGTGTTCGCTGTTCACTGATGCTTATGAACATTTTGTGTTGAAGTTACTTTACCTATTGTTTTGTGAAGGCTCCCTTCATAAAGCAAGGCAATATCTATATATATATATATATATATATATATATATATATATATATATATATATATATATATATATATATATATATATATATATATATATATATATATATATATATATATGTCGTACCTAGTAGCCAGAATGCACTTCTCAGCCTACTATGCAAGGCCCGATTTGCCTAATAAGCCAAGTTTTCCTGAATTAATATATTTTCTCTAATTTTTTTCTTATGAAATGATAAAGCTACCCATTTCATTATGTATGAGGTTAATTTTTTTTTATTGGAGTTAAAATTAACGTAGATATATGACCGAACCTAACCAACCCTACCTAACCTAACCTAACCTATCTTTATAGGCTAGGTTAGGTTAGGTAGCAGAAAAAGTTAGGTTAGGTTAGGTTAGGTAGGTTAGGTAGTCGAAAAAACATTAATTCATGAAAACTTGGCTTATTAGGCAAATCGGGCCTTGCATAGTAGGCTGAGAAGTGCGTTCTGGCTACTAGGTACGACATATATATATATATATATATATATATATATATATATATATATATATATATATATATATATATATATATAACGTATATAGCCAGAACGCACTTCTCAGCCTACTATATTTGCCTAATATATATATATATATATATATATATATATATATATATATATATATATATATATATATATATATATATATATATATATATATATATATATATATATATATATATATACAATCTTTGGACAACACCCACCAGTGGGACTCGAACCCAGAAAGCACAACTACCTTCCAGTAGCTGGCATAACTAGTATGCTTTAACCCACTACGCCATCAGACCTTACAAAAGAAGTAGATAGTTCGAGATATATATATCTCAAACATCTCTACCTCCCGAAGGCACCAGATGAGTGAGGGGTCAGTCTGCAATTTTCGTCAAGCCACTGTCAATGTGAGAGAACTCGTGTCCAGCTTATAAGCCTATACTTGCATAAACCACAAGTGAAGATAAACAATCTTTGGACAACACCCACCAGTGGGACTCGAACCCAGAAAGCACAACTACCTTCCAGTAGCTGGCATAACTAGTATGCTTTAACCCACTACGCCATCAGACCTTACAAAAGAAGTAGATAGTTCGAGATATATATATCTCAAACATCTCTACCTCCCGAAGGCACCAGATGAGTGAGGGGTCAGTCTGCAATTTTCGTCAAGCCACTGTCAATGTGAGAGAACTCGTGTCCAGCTTATAAGCCTATACTTGCATAAACCACAAGTGAAGATAAACAATCTTTGGACAACACCCACCAGTGGGACTCGAACCCAGAAAGCACAACTACCTTCCAGTAGCTGGCATAACTAGTATGCTTTAACCCACTACGCCATCAGACCTTACAAAAGAAGTAGATAGTTCGAGATATATATATCTCAAACATCTCTACCTCCCGAAGGCACCAGATGAGTGAGGGGTCAGTCTGCAATTTTCGTCAAGCCACTGTCAATGTGAGAGAACTCGTGTCCAGCTTATAAGCCTATACTTGCATAAACCACAAGTGAAGATAAACAATCTTTGGACAACACCCACCAGTGGGACTCGAACCCAGAAAGCACAACTACCTTCCAGTAGCTGGCATAACTAGTATGCTTTAACCCACTACGCCATCAGACCTTACAAAAGAAGTAGATAGTTCGAGATATATATATCTCAAACATCTCTACCTCCCGAAGGCACCAGATGAGTGAGGGGTCAGTCTGCAATTTTCGTCAAGCCACTGTCAATGTGAGAGAACTCGTGTCCAGCTTATAAGCCTATACTTGCATAAACCACAAGTGAAGATAAACAATCTTTGGACAACACCCACCAGTGGGACTCGAACCCAGAAAGCACAACTACCTTCCAGTAGCTGGCATAACTAGTATGCTTTAACCCACTACGCCATCAGACCTTACAAAAGAAGTAGATAGTTCGAGATATATATATCTCAAACATCTCTACCTCCCGAAGGCACCAGATGAGTGAGGGGTCAGTCTGCAATTTTCGTCAAGCCACTGTCAATGTGAGAGAACTCGTGTCCAGCTTATAAGCCTATACTTGCATAAACCACAAGTGAAGATAAACAATCTTTGGACAACACCCACCAGTGGGACTCGAACCCAGAAAGCACAACTACCTTCCAGTAGCTGGCATAACTAGTATGCTTTAACCCACTACGCCATCAGACCTTACAAAAGAAGTAGATAGTTCGAGATATATATATCTCAAACATCTCTACCTCCCGAAGGCACCAGATGAGTGAGGGGTCAGTCTGCAATTTTCGTCAAGCCACTGTCAATGTGAGAGAACTCGTGTCCAGCTTATAAGCCTATACTTGCATAAACCACAAGTGAAGATAAACAATCTTTGGACAACACCCACCAGTGGGACTCGAACCCAGAAAGCACAACTACCTTCCAGTAGCTGGCATAACTAGTATGCTTTAACCCACTACGCCATCAGACCTTACAAAAGAAGTAGATAGTTCGAGATATATATATCTCAAACATCTCTACCTCCCGAAGGCACCAGATGAGTGAGGGGTCAGTCTGCAATTTTCGTCAAGCCACTGTCAATGTGAGAGAACTCGTGTCCAGCTTATAAGCCTATACTTGCATAAACCACAAGTGAAGATAAACAATCTTTGGACAACACCCACCAGTGGGACTCGAACCCAGAAAGCACAACTACCTTCCAGTAGCTGGCATAACTAGTATGCTTTAACCCACTACGCCATCAGACCTTACAAAAGAAGTAGATAGTTCGAGATATATATATCTCAAACATCTCTACCTCCCGAAGGCACCAGATGAGTGAGGGGTCAGTCTGCAATTTTCGTCAAGCCACTGTCAATGTGAGAGAACTCGTGTCCAGCTTATAAGCCTATACTTGCATAAACCACAAGTGAAGATAAACAATCTTTGGACAACACCCACCAGTGGGACTCGAACCCAGAAAGCACAACTACCTTCCAGTAGCTGGCATAACTAGTATGCTTTAACCCACTACGCCATCAGACCTTACAAAAGAAGTAGATAGTTCGAGATATATATATCTCAAACATCTCTACCTCCCGAAGGCACCAGATGAGTGAGGGGTCAGTCTGCAATTTTCGTCAAGCCACTGTCAATGTGAGAGAACTCGTGTCCAGCTTATAAGCCTATACTTGCATAAACCACAAGTGAAGATAAACAATCTTTGGACAACACCCACCAGTGGGACTCGAACCCAGAAAGCACAACTACCTTCCAGTAGCTGGCATAACTAGTATGCTTTAACCCACTACGCCATCAGACCTTACAAAAGAAGTAGATAGTTCGAGATATATATATCTCAAACATCTCTACCTCCCGAAGGCACCAGATGAGTGAGGGGTCAGTCTGCAATTTTCGTCAAGCCACTGTCAATGTGAGAGAACTCGTGTCCAGCTTATAAGCCTATACTTGCATAAACCACAAGTGAAGATAAACAATCTTTGGACAACACCCACCAGTGGGACTCGAACCCAGAAAGCACAACTACCTTCCAGTAGCTGGCATAACTAGTATGCTTTAACCCACTACGCCATCAGACCTTACAAAAGAAGTAGATAGTTCGAGATATATATATCTCAAACATCTCTACCTCCCGAAGGCACCAGATGAGTGAGGGGTCAGTCTGCAATTTTCGTCAAGCCACTGTCAATGTGAGAGAACTCGTGTCCAGCTTATAAGCCTATACTTGCATAAACCACAAGTGAAGATAAACAATCTTTGGACAACACCCACCAGTGGGACTCGAACCCAGAAAGCACAACTACCTTCCAGTAGCTGGCATAACTAGTATGCTTTAACCCACTACGCCATCAGACCTTACAAAAGAAGTAGATAGTTCGAGATATATATATCTCAAACATCTCTACCTCCCGAAGGCACCAGATGAGTGAGGGGTCAGTCTGCAATTTTCGTCAAGCCACTGTCAATGTGAGAGAACTCGTGTCCAGCTTATAAGCCTATACTTGCATAAACCACAAGTGAAGATAAACAATCTTTGGACAACACCCACCAGTGGGACTCGAACCCAGAAAGCACAACTACCTTCCAGTAGCTGGCATAACTAGTATGCTTTAACCCACTACGCCATCAGACCTTACAAAAGAAGTAGATAGTTCGAGATATATATATCTCAAACATCTCTACCTCCCGAAGGCACCAGATGAGTGAGGGGTCAGTCTGCAATTTTCGTCAAGCCACTGTCAATGTGAGAGAACTCGTGTCCAGCTTATAAGCCTATACTTGCATAAACCACAAGTGAAGATAAACAATCTTTGGACAACACCCACCAGTGGGACTCGAACCCAGAAAGCACAACTACCTTCCAGTAGCTGGCATAACTAGTATGCTTTAACCCACTACGCCATCAGACCTTACAAAAGAAGTAGATAGTTCGAGATATATATATCTCAAACATCTCTACCTCCCGAAGGCACCAGATGAGTGAGGGGTCAGTCTGCAA